ATGGAAGACATTCTTTCAGCAAAAGCTTCAACATAAAATTTTCTTGTGAGGTGCTATTATTGAAGAAAAAAATGTTCAAAGGTAAGAAAAATGTAATATAAAATCCGTATGAAATAAATCTTTGTACAGTTTTGTCTCTAGACTTCATTTTTGGCAGCCCTGTCAGCATTGTGGTGGTTGTAGTTACACAGAAAATAGTGTAATTTGAAAGCGGTAACATGGCATCAAGAATACTAACAATAAACTGTTATGGTTCCTGGTTTATCTAATTATAATATAGTGATACCCCGATCTTGTACCACAGCTTCTTTTACCAAATTGAGTTTTATTTTTCTGATGAAAAAGAGTTTGTTGGAGCAGAATGTGCGAGCTGGCTGCCGAGGTAGCGATGCGGTGTCCGGTTAGCTCCGGCACGAGGCCCTGCGAAGCCTTGGCCCTCGGCAAGGCGCTCGGCTGTCTAAATATCTGAGCCTAAAACACCTCTGAGCTGCCAAGCTTGGGTTTCTCTCATTGAAGCTCCCTGGCAGTTTTGGTTCTGGAGTTGATACAGGTAAAACGAGCTCTGATTTCTGTCTGCTTGCTCATGTGTGTATACTTGCAGGCTCAAGAGCAGGCCACTTAAGAAAAGGATGGGAGGGAAGTACTGGCATTAAATTTTTATGTAAGCAATTCGTACTCTAAATAAGCGACATGTTGCATAGGTACGGTTTGTAAATCAGAAATCAAGTAGTCATCAGTTGCAGTGAATGTAGTTATATTAAAAGCGATGTAGTGTATTTATCTTGTTTTTGTCATAGAGATGATGGATAGGCCATGAGTAGTTTGGAAGCTAGTTTTTGCTTTCTTTCAACTTTTAATTTCTTCATGCTATATATTGTAAATGTTCTAACCAAAGAGTTAAAAACAAAGCAAACAAGCAAAATGCCCACAGCTTTGTGTTTGAAATACACAAACCTGAACAAAAAAAGGAGGAAAAAAAAAAAAAACAGAGAAATATACTCTGTTAACTCAAGAAAGTTGAATTAACTCTGGGTGTATAACTTGTGTGAATCTCTGCAATTTCTCTTTTACAGCCTTGTTATAGTAATAATGTGTAGTTTAAACAAAACAGGGAAGTAGAGAGATGTCTTTTTTGGACTGTCCTTGAATAGAGTCAGATTATACCCTAATAAGTGTAAACCTATTCATGTTTTGATTTCAGTGTTTTGAAATCATTATTTTGCATTAACTTTTGCTTTAAATTAAAGCTTCAGTACACTTACTGGCACTTGAATTTGAAATCATTCCTCATTGTCAGGTTAATAGAAATTAATCTGTTTGTTTTGGACACATTGCATGGAAGTGATTTAAAGTGGCTCCTTGGCCAGTTTCAACAGTTTTGTGAAAAGTAATGTAACACTTGTAGTAACTACTGAAATGCAAAAAACATACAGACTATCTGCTCTGCTAGTCATATTGCTGTCTTAATAAAGTCAATGTTTATCAAATACCGATCTGATAAGTATGATAACAATGCTGAAAATTAAACTTTTTATTCATCACCCAAAGATTTAATGAGCAGAGAAGTATATGTAACTATAAAGATATCTTCTGTTCAGAAATTCAGAGAAACCGCTCCCATGAATTTCCTCTTGTGAAATATATCGCAATTATTAAGTGCAAACTTTGAGGAAGTTGCATAGTCAATTTTTCTGCCAAATTGTGATTGTACAATGTTATTTTTTTCTTTAAAATCTTGCATAGAGTGTTTTTTTTTCCATACTAATTCAAGCTAAATCAGTTTTAAGTAGGGATCTCCACTATTTATGGAGTGTTTCAAAGTTTGATACTGTAGATATGTGGGGAAAATGAACTTTTTAGATTCATTTAAAAACTTGTGGATTTCCACAGAAATAAACTAATCATGAGCATTTCACTCTGAAGTGCAAGCAGTGGGTTGCACAGAGCAAAGGGAAGTTACAGCTGGGAGATGACGGAGCCATTTGCCACCAACATGTGATTTCCTCTTTCAGAAAACTTTGGAAATTAAACTTTTGACCTTTGTGAATGAACTAACGATTCAAAATAGTATATACAAGTGTATTTTGGATGGAAGTGTGTGTGATGGGATGAGTTTATTCTTTAGCAATTGCTATGCATCATTATTTAAAGAAAAAAAAAACTCTGAAAGGATTTTTTTTTTTTTTTTTTTTTTTTAAATCTAAGACAAGATCTAAGGAAACTTTTTGCAGAATAGATGAGGGAAGAGCAGGGATGTTTGAATTAGCAGCTGATGATTCAGCTATCTGTGAATCCTGAATAGATTCTGTTGATTAGTAAGATTAAACATCTGGATAAAGACTCAGTTTCCAGTGTGACACAGAGAAATCCGATGTACCTGTGTCCTCAAGTGAGAAAGTGGCCTCTTTGATGAGGGGCCTGCACAGGACACCCAAGCGAGGTGAGCAGAGCGAGTCCCTTGGTGGCTGCCAGGTTTAGCCAAGAGTTGCTTGAGTATTTAATGTTTTATACAGGTGTAGGCTTAAAAATTGTAGGCTTTATCAAGCCTTTTTAATTGCTTTTTGTAATTTAAGGGTTAATCATCAGATCTTTATTGTGAGGTCAGGAGTCTGATGAAGTAAAGATAGTAAGGACACAC